GCACGTAGCCAGGCCTAACGTATTATAACGATATTGTTAAGTCATGGCTAGTCTAGACTACTGTAGGCCTAGGCTTTCTTCTGTTAGGACTACCAATCATTGACAATAAACAAGCCAAGTACTTTAAAGTGTAAGACAAGCAAGCAAGACATCCCACAACTCCCTGAGAATACCTACCACGAACATCATAAAAAAATATCCACTCGCCACGGCAACAACAACACGTTTCACCTTGTTGATGACTGATCGAACACCAGTCGACGTGCTGTGTGGGGGAAAGGCTACATATATCAGAAATATACTGTAAGATCGCTTAAAAAATCCTCGAGATTTATTTCTGAAAATTGTCAGTTGGCTCTACAGTTTACTCAAAAATGTGTTGATCAATGATGATAGACTAAACGTAAACTACCTAGCGTACAATGCCGTGGGATCGTTCCCGCCTAATTTGGCACTCATTCAAGAAAAATTACCAATGAATCAAAGTGCGCAGACGTAGAAGTAAGTAGTTACTTTTCACGCATGTGCAACTTAACCATGTGAACGAACTCGATGTGCATGTGAACATCATACAGTGTACACTTTATTTAAATAATAGATAATGTATCATAGTTACACGTTCCAATATGGTTATTACATAATTCCATCACACACTGTTCAACACAAACTATATCAGAAACAACTTCCAGTACTATAACAAGAAATACGAAAAAAACCAAAAAACACGAAGGAGGCTGGAGCATTAATTATCGATCGATGAATACTGTATCCCGCGCCAATCAGACTACTAAATAAATTACACGCTTGACTACACACTATGTAAACACTACTATTACAGTAGTCTATGCCCCCTCGGGGGAAAAGACACTATGTTATGATCTGGCAGTTAAAGATGGCGGAAAGGGTAAATACGGTGGAGGAGCATGAAGGGTCATGTTTCATCTTAAGTACCTTAGTGTACTCTATAGAGAAAAAAAAAAATAGTACTGTACAAAAATAATAAAAAAAATACAACACTACTCATTTCCTGATAACACAGTGGATACTTTATTAGCAAGCATAATACAGTAAGGCATAAGCTGTTTATGTAATTAATGTTGAGATTTCGTTTGTGTCGTATGTTCAGGGGCGAATCTAGCCCAGTAAGAAAGAGGGAGGCGTGAATATGCGAACTGAGTGAGAGTCTCAGGAAAGAGCCACTGGTATGGGTGTAAGGGGTTAATCCACCTTAAACCCCCAGCACCTTCATAAATTTTAGTGTGTAGGCCTATTTCAAATTGATTTTTACTATTTAGTATGGTAATTTTATGGTCGACTTCAGACTCAAAATGTTCTAGTATTTTGTCACCTATCCTATTTTAACATACTTTTGAAAACATAGAAAATTATTATTGTACAGCAGTTATAGGCCTATACTATACTGTATTATAGAGGGTATTATGGTATTACATAGTCACATTGTTGGACTTTCAATTAACAAAGATAAAAACCTCATTTTACATTTTTACCTCAGCCTCAATTTGTTCTTATTTTGTAAGCAATATCAGCCTCAGTGTTCTATCTATAAAATGTGTTGAAGTGTACTTACACAACATATTATTATTAGGGCATGTGGTGAAACAGGCAAGATCTAAATAACACCAAATCAATTTTACCGTGGCAACCGCCCAATTGATTCGTTTTCAAGATATATACACGTGCCAGTCAACTGCAGTCAAAGATGGGTCAAGGTATGACGTAAACGGTTGTGACGTTGTATAATATTAGTTATTTATTTGGATATATGCACTTTTAAAAAAATACACAACAACAATTGCGGTGCATTCAAACTAACATAACAAAGGATAATTTTTTTTTAATCACAAGCAAAATGAAAGACAACAACTTAATAAAACAGTATAAGGCCTACGGTACCCGTTGGAGGTGATAGGATTACATTTCTGTTGATGACGTGTGAGGAGCTTAATGTCACACTCCACCCACAGCATCATGTCTGACGAATTAAAAACGTGGTCTACTGTACTTTTTACTTGTTCTATATTTTTATTTCTGGGATCATGTTCAATCTGTGGTACCTGGATCCATACCGGGTACTGTCTTAACGCAAAAAAGTGAACACTCTAAAGTGCCTGCTCAATTCCATTTTACTTTTTTCTCGAATAGAAATTCACTCTTAATGAATTGTGGAACTTTAGCGAAATTTCTCTTTTTTTTTTCACTATCGTAATGATCAGGCACTCTCGGGGCCTCTTTATTATGAACAGAAAAATATAACACGATAACTTAAATCAGCGTTAATAATAAATGTTCTTCGTGACGGCCGGTCTATAAATATCAACGAAACTGAATTCTTTGTGTACTATATTTTAATTTATTCACTGCATATAGGCCTACTTTATTTAAACAATATTTTCAATTAAAATCACATCCACAGGCCCTATTACTATAATCTGTGCAGAATAAATGAATAAAGCACTCCGTTTATTAGAAAATACCGATCTTTGGTTGTAATATGACTTCATCGATGGAGGATGTTAAGTTTTATTGACAGCCCCTTCAATATCATTTTCTTTTAGAAGTTCCAGTTTAATCATAATAGCCACAACTGTTTTTCCTGATTCCCAGAGCTTCTGGGGAAGAGAGTTGCGAAACGCGGTGTTTGTCTCATCCGCACTCTTGCCACTCTCTTTATCCAGTCGCATCATCACCTCCAGTGGGTTTGATATATTCAAGTAGGCCTTCTTTATAATGGCGAGAACGTTTTCTAAGGATGGATTCCAGCCCAACCTAGTTTTTAAATTTCTCCATTTATCGCCGGCATTTTCTAATCTTGTCTGGCTCTCATTTTCAGGGTAGTTGTCGATTAGTGATTCCATGTCGGATACCGTACGTGGAAAGATGTGAGGTTTAATGAGGTTTTCTGGAAGGACCTCTTGGAAGATCTTCGACTCAAGTTTGTAGACAGCTTGGCCAGCAAGCATGGCCCACTTCTCCTGTTCACGTTTCTTATTTTCCTCGTCTGTCAGTCGGCTGCGGACATTTTTACTCAACCCGAGTAGAGAAGAAGAATCACTTGCCTCCTCCTCTGACGAGCTCTCCATAGCAACGCTGTGTTAAAGATAATAAAGCGACAATGAACATCAAAAGTAAATGTAGAGTGTGAATAAAAGGCCAATTACGCCAGAGGCGCAATTTTAAACGAAGCGCGTAACTCAGACCAAAAGATCCTCATTTTGAACTTACCAAATTATGTCTAAATTGATGACGTCAAAAAAGGTTGTGGAATGTTCCCCTTACTGAAAGCGGCTGATGGACAGTATTAATGTTAAGACTTAAAGTGTGGTCTCGGAAGAGAATTTAGATCAAAGGTGAAAATTTATTTTAGCATTATGATGATGTTAAGTTTAAAAAACAATAACTATTAATTGAGAGTGAAACTTGGCGTTAACTGAAGCATGACTGAAAGGAGCCATAAAAAGAGACCACGTCATAAAAACGAGAAAAACATCAGGTTTAATACAGCTTAATGCATAAAGTAAGAGGCATAGATATATTAATAGGCTAATATGATATACATAACATCGTTCAAATACTTGATGACATGAAACAAATTAGAAAACATAGGCCTATAGAGAGATGATAAAGCTGAAAATATAATTTAGTTTAACATGTTGATACCATGATAAATACAAGAAAAATGAAACTTACGAGGAAAACGAAGATGCGATGAAGAGTGAGGGAGAGGTTGATCGTGAGTGATGAGGATTGAGGATGGTGATGGTCATTTATGGAGGCATAAAAGAGGAGGATGGTCGTAATTTATGTTGTCAATGATTCTATCATTAATCATGAATTAATTAATGGAGTATAACATGGTTGGTTTGAGTGCAACTATAAAAGCCACATAATTAATTTGACACTATTATGTAACGGGGTAGGTAGGCCTACAAGCCAGTGCGGACACAGGTAAGGTGACAGTCGTCTTGGGTGAGGAAAGGGTTGTGGAGAGAGCGGTAACATTAAGGGTTTATTTACATCAGCTGGAATAATTTTTCTTATTACCACTAGATTAAATTAAACTTAAAAATCAACGATACAGCAGCAACTAGTCTATCATGGCTAGACAAATTAGGTTGAAAAATTTCGCCGGACAACGTGAGCATGAGTGGTATGCCCAGTGATATAACAGTGTTCAATGTTGTCGCAGTTGGAATAATGCCTATAAATGAGTCCTCAGCTAAAAAAAATCAGTCAATCAATCAATCAATCAATCAATCAATCAATCAATAAAACAATCATTCAATCAATCAATTCAAATATACGTTTTTAAAACAGTAAAGAGGGAATTCGTCAAATATAGGATAGTGAATTACTGTAATTAGCCCAACAATTGAACAGTAGAACATCAGACCCAAGAAAATATCTGTTTGCCAGCATTTCAATCTACTAATACTTTGATTGTTGATCAAATGTTGCATAGAGCACAACATGAGTAAATACTATTAGGCCTACTACACTTACGGTATCAGTTAAACAAATGCATTACAAGATACGGTATGCTGTAATTAATTAATTATTAGGCCTATTAGGCCTATTATTAATTATTCTTGCTATATCATAATTTTTAGGCTATTACATGTATTTTGTTAAGTACTAAGGGTAGTTTGTAAAATTGTTATCTAAACAAATAAATACAAATAATAAATGGTTCGTATGAGTTCATGTAAAATTGCATACGAGGTTTATTATAGGATGATGATGATGATGATGAAATGAATTAGAGCAATAAGGCCTTATTCATAAAAAGAAAACAATTACTGTAATGTCGCCTTACACCATAGTGACTGTCATAATACCATATATATCTGAACAGGCCCCACACGTACGCCAAAATCTTTCTGTTTAGAACATGTAATAATATAAAATAAATCTATTTTGTTGTTTTTCCACGCGAACCTTGCAGGTTTTGTTTATGATCTTAGTTTACGCTATCGATAAATTGCTGCTAAGTTATGCTATATCAACTGGTGGACAAATTGATGAGTAAAGTAAATATTTTGACACTAGGAAACGCCCAGCTGAATGGGAGATTGGATGACTATGATTCATAGGCCTCCTGCTAATATAGAATAATATCAGAAGCCTTCTATCGATGGAACAACATTAGCTGGACATCGATAGGCCTACGTCGAAAAAAAAAATGACAATACATACTTAGACGTCAAAAAGGTCGAAACCGGGGCGTTTCCCCCAGGCTCAGGTTAGAGACCCTTATCCAGGGGTCCCAGTAGTATTTTATGTCTAGTACTAGTAGTAGGGATTATCTAATGAATGAAAAGGATATAAAAAGTAATACAGTATTGCCGAAAGGGTTTATTGTAGGTGACTGGAGTAACAATATTTTACCACATCACGGCAATTGCCCTAGGCTAGATTGATTTACCTTTTAGTGTCTTTAGGCAGAAAACCAAGATGAATGTATGCCTTGTACAAAGTTACGCTAAGAAATTGATAACAACGAAAGGAATTGACCACTTATCGACCATACTTGTACTGTACTTACCAATGGGTATTGATTTCACGTTAGAACCACTGAATAAGGTAACATGATGAGGCCCTACAGTGATGTTTTTAATTGAGTCACTGTCAGTGTCATACAGAAACACGTTGCTACGTTACGTGAAGTACATAAACAAGCGAGTTACGCGCTTCAATAAAACCGGACCGGAAGCAATGCGCGCGTCGATACGCGGGTATGCGTGTCAAGTCGGAAGTGCGTAGCCTGCACAGCGAACGCGCACAAGTCATGGTATTCCTGCCTGGAACGACTACCGTCTTTAAAAGAAAAAAATAAAAGCAGTAATTAAACAATTACCGTAATGTCAAGTAATAGAAGATTTAATCCATGGAGTTATGGTCTCATAAACACAGTGTTTAGACTAAAAATTATCATCCTCTACTACTAAATTAAGGAATTTAATAAGATCTCAGTGCATAGAGTACAGATTTTTTTCTATTAAAATAATGACTATACAGAGGTGAAATGTTTTTGTTTTTTTTTGTTTATTTTTTTATTGTAGAAGATAATACGATGTGATTTAAATATTATGGTTAAAAAAAATCTCTTTCGTGTTTATATTTAATAGGCATCACTCTTCTGTTGTTAAACTATATCATTGAATGTGTGAATATCTGGTTTATGCTGGTTTTCCACTAGGCGAATTTATTCGCGCGAATCAGCGTCGGTTCGCTTCATGTGCTCTGATTCGTTGGGCATTTTTTCGCTTCGCAAAAACTCCGATAGGAATGTGAATGCGCATGTGCATAAGCCGACGCTTTGGATTCGCGTGAATAAATTCGCCTAGTGGAAAACCAGCTTTAGGGCTATTGAACCATGGAGGTATATACTTCCATGGTTGAACCTCTTAAAAGAACACATACTGTATACTACATAGGGTCAAGGTGCGAGTAGATTCATTAAAGAACAAAAGGTAGACATACAATGTAACAGAATTCTTATTGTAAATTATACTTGGTTGCCTCCTGTCTTGGAAATACTATTCTAAACAAATGCACAAACAAATAACTTCGTCATTCTTTCTAATTCTCGATGTGTGGGCATAATTGTTTACCGAATTTTTGTTTAACGAATAATGCACTGAAATAATAACAATGTTAATGATTATAAATAATAATATGACGATGGTGGTGATAATGATGACGATGATAGTAATAATAAAACCTTATATTCTGTATCCGCTAACAATAAGCGCTCAAGGCAATATGGTATTTATATAATATAATGTTTTTTTATAGTCCTTAAAAAATGTAATAGACTACTGCCAGAAATCTCCATTTATAAACGTTATCTACCATAAAAGATTTGTTGGGATATGAAAAACGTACATAAAGCGCACACGGTGATGATGAAAATAATCCAACTTCATTCAATAAATATGTTCCAGATTTTTATTATACACTTACTCATTAAACAAGTAAATGATAAATTATTTATAATATATACAATTTTAACTCAAAACCTATCAATAATAAATTTTAACCACTTAAAATGTATATAGGCCTACAGCAGCTTATAATCTCTACTAGAAGTACTTACCCACATTTAGGTCATCGTCTTTGGTGTTACACAGAAAATTTCCTTTTCCAATCGAATAAAATATCACTAATATACAGGAAGCTGTAGGTTTGTAATAATAAGCTTGATGTTCGAATTCAATTAATCGTGCCATGCATGTTCTGAATGTGAAAAGTGTGGCCACGTGCAATTGCATGATAACACTGGCCACGTGGGATCGATCGCAAGAATACAATAAGATATTGAGCTATTATAATGTGCACGTGAAATCCATGGTGTGTGTGGCACGCACCAGGAGCGTATCCAACATGAATAAAACAGAAAGGGGAAACCAAATTCAGGGCGGATGCAATTGGTCCCCACCCCCGTTTTGCCACTGTATGTTTAAATTTCAAAAAATAGGCCCTACCAATGCCATGTATTGAAATACAAAAAAATAGAATACAAATACGTGCCCCCTGTGATGGGGGAGGGGGATCGGCAGAATAGTTAAGCTAGATCAACAATGGCATAACAATGGGGCTAGAACTCTAACCCTAACATTTTGTATTTGTACTCTACAGTTTATTTTTTTTAAATTTTAATAAATGACATTGAGGTTTATGCATTGCAATATTTTAAAAAAAATAGTGGCAAATCGGGGGAAGGGGTGCACCCCGATTGGGTACACCCCGATTGGATCCGCTCCTGACCTGCACAACTTTAATGCGGCCAACTGGGATCGCACCACTACCTGACTACTTTATGTTTGGTGGTTGTTTTCAACAAAAGAGATAAATTTAACAAAGGCCTATGGACACAGTTTGATACACAGTAATCTCCAGCTCTGTTTTGTATGTAGACCCTCGCCCTACAGTAATGTTAAGGTATTTTGTCTACATACGCTTCCAGCGATCCTGTTTTTCTATTACGGCAGCAGTTAAGAAATATGGATGATAATCTTGTTAATTCTCAGCAAATTGTGATTGACAGCTAATATATGCCCCTTAATTGATTTATGTCATATATTACCCTCGTATCCCACTCCAACGAAGCTAATATCTTATGAAAAATAAATGTCATTCAAACAATATTTTCAAATGGATGATATCCATTCTATCAATTCTCCTTTATTTCAGGTTTACTTAAATTCATGTACTGCAGTGCTACAAAATGTTTAAAATAATAAATGACACTTTCATAAGATTCAATTAAAAAAATTGTTATATTAAATAACATCAACAAATATATATTTACTCCATAATTTTCTTCATTATCATGTAATAGTTCCGAACTTTAATACAACTGTTTACATTTGTTTTTATTTCATAAAAACGTTCACATTAATTAGCCCTTACTAATACTGTATCTCTTCATTTCCCACGTAACTTGTCCTACATATAGTATATCCGTAGTTCTCCTTAAAAACCAAATACCTAGAGCATTTTTATTAATCATTATTTAAGCTTCAGGGCTATTGGTTATCATTAAAATTATGATTAGTAAATTCTGAAGTGGTGTCACTGACGGTGTAAACCAAGAGCCTTCAGACCCTTCGATACGCCTTATTCGGGACCCTAGTATACTGTCGGCTGTGGGTTGTTAGGGCCCACGGTGGGTGATGGGGTGACTATTTAATGAGACTTGATGCTACTATCATGTATGAAAAGCAGCCACATTATAATTATATACATACTGTATTTTTATTTGTGTTTATTCACAGCATTATGTGGTGTTCTTACATGATGTTCTGCCCCTTAAGGTGCCCTGTTACGCTGCTTTGGGGACTGTGATTCGAAAGTGGACTGTTGCCCGGAAAAAGAATGCTGTGCGGTTAAGGCAGGGGTGCCGCAACATACAGCCATAATATCGGCGTTTGTTCGAATGGTGAACGGTGAAACAAGTCTTCTCGGATAAGGACTAAAACCATAGGCCCAGTGTACACAATTTGGCTCAAGTGTCCCTTACAGCCCATGTTGTGGACAGACGAAATTAGCTGGTACCGGGTAGCTAAGACACGAAGAGACCCCTAGGGGAGAAGCAAGTTACCGTAAGAGCTAGTCCACACCTCGAGCACTTTGAGACTATTTGGTTCAAAGAACTACATTACATTACATCCCGGGCCACTTAAGGTCCAGCAGTCTTGGCTTAAGCGATGAATCCTCATAGACATTTGACCAATAGCTGTGTAAATTATTTTACTGCACGACGGAGTGATTTTTTTCCCATGTGCTCTTCTTAATTTCGTTAACTCATCTATTTTGCACATGTGGTAGGAACACACTTTTAACTGCCTCTCTGTGCCTTATTTTCACATCCTCCAGTCGACTATTGAACACAAAATGAGCGTAGTTCCTGCGCTGCTGCACAGCCAGTAGGCTCAGCTTCTCCTCCATTTCAACAGGGACTCGGTCACATGATGGCGTGGCTCCTGGTATCACCTTGACAATAAGTGGTTTTTCCTTGGGACCATTGTGGAGTGTAGCGAGGGACTCTTTGGCCTGTGGCTGGATGCATTCGTTGTGCATTTTTTGGACCCCACGAACCTGCCTGCTGAATCCAGTATGGACTTCAGCCAAACTAAAAAGAAATGAAATCAACAATCTTTAGATTCATAATTTTACATTATCAGTAATATAAATTTAGTATGTATATAGAAAAAGGCAATAATGTGTTTTGAAATATACATAACAATAATAAATACTATATACTAAACACTATAACAAATACTATATTTTGTACTTTGATATATTGACTATCATCTATATCATGATATATATTATATATATATTATATTATATATAAAAGTCAGCTCTTAAACCATAAGTTTATACCCATACTGTGGCTAAAATATGTATGATGCAAATACTGCATTAATATAAGATTCACATCAGTGGTAACTTATCTGTGTCAATAAAAATTTCCTGTGTTAATCAGGTTTTATCAGACGCCTACAATGTTTTTCAATTTCATAGATATCGTAACACTGTTGGAGTCAACAATTCTATTGTCATGTATGTATTATCTCTCATATTTGACAGTTATCTGATCTTGTTCAGGGGCGGATCCAGAGATGTCCAAAAGGTGGGGGGGGCAGAACGGGGAACCCTAGGTGGTCCCTAGGTGGTCCTAGGTGGTCCCAGGGCATTCCCCCGCGAAATTTTTGGGCGATCAATTTTTTCTTTCTTTCTTTCTTTTTTCACTTTCCAAAAGGGGGAAGGGGTTCTTAACTCACAATGTTTAATGGTAATCATTTGCATATACTGTAACTGTAAATTTATCAGTAACAATCAAGGAATGAGAGCTCGAAATGTTTAAATTCCATTCAAATATTATAACGTGCATATAAATGCAAACTTTGCTGTAAAGTGTGGCATTACAGCTAATCAAGGAATAAGAACTAAGGATGTTTAAATTTATTCTTATGTAAATATTGTGCAAAGCAATCACATCAGATCCAATCAAGGAGTGACAGCTCAGGATGTTTATATTTTTCCTGTCTATATAAATATAAAAATGCTACTGCATTATGGCCAATCAATGACTTAAAGATAAGCATGTTTACATATCATGTCAATGGTTATCATATGACATACCAATAAATGTAAACGAGCTACAGTATGTGCTGTATCACAACTAGTCAAGAAATGAGTTCAGGACGTTTGCATTTAAGGGTATAGCAGAATGAATGTGGATTTGTGAGAGAGTTACCTTGCTAAAAATCACCTACAGTAGATGCTGATGTGGTGATGTGTTGCATGTGACCACTCATGTATTAAGAGCTTAGCATGCTTACATTTCAGCAAACATTAATGAAAAACTTATTCTCAAAATCAACTATGATGTCTATGAGAATACCCTTACCTATTGGCAAGTTCTATTTTAGTTTTCAACTCATTAGGTGTTGCTTTCTGGCTCCACCAAGGTGTAGAGAATGTCATCTTATTACCTGGGATGACAATAGGGTTGAGAGATGGCAATCTATTCTTCTTCAGAGGAGGAACAGGTTCTGGGGGTGGCATGCCTATGTACTTTGGGTCTAATTTGTTTAGTAGGGCACTGCCTTTTTTCCCTAAGATTGCGCAGATACATTTCATACAAGCTGCTAGGAGAGTCCTGTATAATAGGAAGATACAGAAAGATTCTGAACTTAGTAATTGATATACCCTACCTTAAATGTATTATTAAATATTTAAATTCAAAACAAAAACTGGCAGTCCAGTACTGCTTCTCTGGAGAAGGTTATGGGCAGGCACTATACACAAATATAAAAACCAACCCAACTCGAAGCCAGCTCAAAGTATCGCGTAGTGCCACCAAAATTGAGGTCTTAATTTAAACCCCACTTTCTAATAGAATAAACTCAGATCAAAATTTGATTGGAAGCATATCAAACAAAACCAATGACTATTATTCTCATATTCTCATAAATCAATAGTGCTTTATCTTTACTTACTTATTCTTCAAGCTATTGTGAAACATGACAAGCTTTCCAACTTCCTGCAGGCCTACTGACACAAGGAACGTCCTTATTGTATGGTTCTTCCATAATGTGTTCACTAGGTGATCAGACTTTTTCAACTGCAACTCGGGGGCATGTCTTGTCAAACATAACTGTTGAAATGAAAGAATTGAATTGAACTTATTGTATTCAATCAAACTCGATGACCCCAACAATTGGTGTATGGTCAATGATGTGGTACCAAATACCAAAAAGTATTTAAAAATTAACTGTTCAAAAAAGGATATTGTTGATTATTATTTTTCACTGATTGAATAAAGAAGTAGAAATAGTTAAAGAAATAGAACTCTTAGGTGTAATTATTCAAAAACAATCTTAAATGAGATACTCATATAAAAGAAATTTGTAAGTAAAGCCTCACAAAAATTATACTCGATATGTATATTACGTAAATTTAATGCACCCCAATCTGAATTATTGTGTGGATTACCACATTGCATGATAGAAGGGCCACACTAACATCTAGTTTTGGTGAGAAACTATTAAAGTCGCCTGCTTACAGATTACAGGAATATAACCCTAAGGTATACTAACACTGGACATGGGTTACAAGTTCCTTTTTGTAGAACTGAAGGATATAAAAAATCCATAATCACTTACTTGGCTGGTATTTTGTAACTCTAGTATAGATTCTTTTTAAAATAATAATAATGTTAATCAAAAAAAAAAACAAAAAAAAAAAAATATATATATATATATATATATATATATATATATATATATATATATATATATATATTGTAACAATAATTACAATCAATTTTGTGGTACAATTGTCTCTAGTTTAACATCGCTATAAATCTAATTTGTTTTGTTAATTTTTAATGTTCTATATACTGTAATCATTTTCGTCTTTGAATGCATTTCTTTTAATGTGTTTTTGTTTAAATATTACAATTTTAGTTGTAAAACTACTAGTTGTAGGTCAATAAAGAAATCTGTATATAACTGTAATAAAAATTGTTTGTTTCATTTTTACTTCAAATGCTATCTTTTGTTGGATTTATCAAAATATCAGTTTTCATTTCAACTTCAAAAGTATATTACAGTTTTAATCAGACTGCTTAATTTTTCAACATGTAATAAATAATTACCAACACTGAAGCTAAATTATCAGTCTGAAAGGTCAAGTAATTTTGTCATAACAATGTTGATACTTTATGTACAACTTATTAGTCATAATAAAAAAAGTAATAATAATATAATGACTAACATCAAGAAAAAATAATGCTTGACACGACAGTGGCAGATCCATGAAATTTGAAATAGATGGGGCTTCGGGAGAAATTTATTTAACTATAATTCTATAGACTTACCATTTTCATGAATTTGTGAAAATGTTGGGTTTAAAAAATTGTTATCAAGACATTTGACATTATGCAATCCATACTTAACCATGTTAGACGATATTTAAGAGCGTTCGTTCTCTTTGTTTAAGGTACTCAAGATATGCGATAACATAACGGTGCGCAATTATTGACAGTAATATCGTAAGCATGCTGTGTTTTATCTTACATTCCATAAAAATACCACCATCCAGGCAAGTGGCTTTAAATAAAGCACAAAGTTTAATTAGATTTTTCTTTGCCGAGCAGGGTTTCTGTAATCCGAGATAAATTGGACAATTATAATTTAGTAGGTTATAATTTAGCATTAATTAAATACTGAAAAAAAATCCAGCTGTTGCTTACTTGTTCTTAATATCTATATAGACAATCAAATTACCTATATATAATTATATATATAGATGATATATAATTATATATATTATTATTATTTAATATTATTATTATTATTACGATTACTAAAACAAAATTAACAAAATGAATTATTTGGTGAACTGTAAAATCATTAAAATACAAATATAGCTTCTAATTATGCTAATACTCGTACACAATTTTAACAAAAAATAAAATATACTTTAAGAATTTAAAGTTTTTATATAAATCAAATAAACCATGAGGTATGCATACTACTTCCAAAATAGTACACAATATTGTAGCCTCAGGGAGAAACATTAATGCTACAAATTATATTAAGCCTTGATTTATGTATATTATTGGATGGAGTTGATATGACAGAATAATAATTATTAAGAGTGCATTTATATAAGCTAGTTGATGATTCATATTATTAGCCACTTTATTCATCCTCTCCATTCCCCCAAAATCACAGGTGGGCAAGTGCGACCCTATGTGTGCGGCCTGCCAACCATCTATGGCTAAAAAACACCTTGTTTTTTACCGCCCGACACCGATTACCTATAAAATGAAATATTAAAGGTGAGCATAAAGCGGTACAAAAGCAGTGTATGAAGGTGTTTGGAAGCGCACTTGCAAACAACAATGCTTTGGTGCGGCTTTTTTTGTTAAATCAAAAATTCACTTTGGCCCTCCGACCCATCTTTTTGCCCACCCCTGCCCTAGATCTTCCCATGGAAAAGAACGACTCAATGGAAGGCCAACAGAAAGCTTGGCATAAGCATAGAAAATTGTTAAATGTTTAAAGTAGTGAAGATATGTGTAATTACAGTACTTGATGGCTACAATTAATACTTGTGATTATACCTGAGAGATACAGAGAATAACAAAATTCTAATTTTCTGTAAATTCATGAAAATGACAATTAAAGATGAGTAATAACTCTGTTAAATTCATGGAAAAATGTAAGCAATTTGTAAAAGTAAAGCTGTCACATAAATCAGTATATTTGCATATTTACTTGAATATAGTTTGTCAAATGTGTTATTAAGTCAAACAACATCAACAATGAATTAAAATAATTCCTAAATAAGTAATTTTTTTTTAATAGCTTAATATATAAATATAAAGTAAGTCTGAAAACTGAAAGTATATTTTTTCCTATTGATATTTATTTCGCAGATTATAATGCCATTGTTAACTTGGCCCTTCACATCACCTATAAACCACCTAACAATAGATATCCACTAGAAAGATCCCACCAACACATTTGCCTCCTTGAAGTTGCCCCATCAAAGTCAACTAAAACATATAATATATTGAGAAGTGTTCATGCATATATAATAATAAATTTATATAGCACCTAATGTGAACAGCCGTAAAGGAATATAACAACAATGCTGGTATTAGGGTTAATCTCCACTTACAATACCAATTAATTTGCTTGTACCAGCATAAATATTATTTATCCTGAGGCAAGATGAAATGAATGTAAAAAATATAAAATAAATTGGAACACAATTTGGTTAGTCAATTTATATGTCGTTACATGAAACTTGTATTAAGTCTAAAATGCATTGTCATACTATAAAATTGTTAAATGCACATCATTATTAGAGGCTTCCAACATTTAAATGTATTTTATATGTACAGTAGGCCCACATAATATTGTTTTTTGTTTTGTTTTGATTTCATTCCCTGTATTTGATATCAAACTTTTACATTGTACCCAGGGCACCAAGGAAGACTAGTCGTATTGACTGACTGGGCCACCCTGGTTATAATGTGAATAAATGAATAAATTCAAGTAAATGTATTGCACTGGCCTTTATGAGGATTAAGTTTGGTGTGCTTGTGTGTGCTTGTTGACACGTTCTTTGATTTATCATACAAAATATTTTGTGCACTTCCTATTCAAACAGATTTAAACTGTTGACATTAAACTTAGATCCTGAAACAACAACCAATATCTGTCAATCAATTATATAACAACATCCTTTTCAGGACAAGTCATTTGTAATTTCATTATGATGAATAGAAAATCACGTCTGATAAATCAAGGACTAAACTGTACAGCTTAAAGTCATTGGCAGCTTGGCATAAAATCAGCATCAATTTTACTGTGTGGTTGTCATTTCAATTCCAAGAAAACAACATTGAAACTTAATTTCCTAATGAAACCACAATTTAGAGGTGAATGTCTTGATTAGAAAGTACACTGTAATTGAACACAATAGAATTTTCATTGTGATAAATATTACAAACATTGATGAGCTTCATTCAGTTTTATATTAATTTACTTTTTTACTAACATATATATTTATTTATTCATTTATTTATTACTTTTTCTTTGTTGTTTTCCTACGCTGGGCCGCCAAGTGTGAAAACCGTAACAGGGGCAAGGGTTGGTGTGGGCTCCAGTTACGAGCACAAAGCATGGGAGGGATTGCGCCATTATTAAGGGCTCATGATAGTAATTATTATTTTTTAGAAAAAATATTGAAAAAGAAATGCTACCTGCAATTTCTAAGGGCCACAGGTAAGCTTGGGCCCTGGGGATCTTGTCCCCCCCCCCCAAAACCTTTCCTCGGTGGCACTGTTCCTATGTAATACCACATCCCTGGGTGCTCATAGCCTTGTGTTGAATGATTCACATAAAAAAATATATATAAACGCATACATTCAACATTAATCATCATAGAGAGATAATGAATATGTTATCAAAGTATTGGGTCAACGTGGGTCAACTCACCAAGTCAAGAAGCGATGACAGAAGGATTATTTCGCATTCCAGCACTCTGGCCAATGAATAAGCACAATCCTCACTCACACAAATATCTAGACCATAGGGTGAAATGACAAGACCATTAATCTCATATTTCAAATGATAATGTTAATACTTTATTAATTAGGAAGAAGTTGATACTTCTCTGTTGTAAGTGCTGAAGATGGAGTACTTAATCAATATCAGAAGCAGTTATCAGTCATTGATATTCTATATTGAAACAAAATGTGAATAAACGATGAGCAGAATAAATGATAATTAACATAACAGTTACTCACCTATTGGTAAATTTATCCATTAGTGTGTTTAAACAGAAACAACAAAAACAAAACATTATAATTGTCTGAGCCACAATAAAAAATTAAATGTCTGTTTCTGTAATTTATTTAAAAGTCTTAAATGTGTTTGTATCTTAAATCTTATTACTCATATTTTTCCTTACAAAAACACTTCTAATTATTTTCAACTCATGCTATAAGTGTTTTTGTGTAATGTACAATAGTTCATAATTCAATATTTTAATTAATGATTATTTTTCTTGTTTTTGTCTTTAACTTTGATGCAATGTTATGTTTTCTTATATATAAATATTTAGATTAAGAATTGCTCTAAATTTGTTATAATTGTAAATTTCATGCAATTCTGGTGCATTGCTGAAAATTTGAGAAAATCTTGTGTTTTAGACCTATTTAATACAAAATTGGAAAACGTTCAACTGAAATTGCTTTCTATGCAATTTGACACAAGTGTAAATTAGAAATATTATTCCGATAGTTGCGAAAGCACATAGTATCTGCCAAATTATAAAAATAGATCCCCCAGCACATTATACGACTTATATCAATGTTGGCATTTCATAAAGTGTCATTATTTAACAGTTGTTATTCTTTACAGTGAACACTGCAACTGTTCTTCAAATTATGTATTACATGAGTTGACATTTGATATCAAGGAAATACATCATTGCATATGTTGAGCTATTAGATCTAACAACACCTTGATGGAGATAAAATGGAAAATCACTCAAGGCAAGAGAACATTCTTATACCGTGCAACTAAGGCTTGGAACGAACTTCCAAACCAAATTAAAATAGAATTAAATGATCTCCAACTTAAAAATTTCAAAA